GGACCCCTGCTGGATTGTGAAGGTACTGCAGGCAAGAGGTCCTTCACAAATAAATAAATAGCTTTTGTTTGAAAAGTTTTAAACCAAGTAAATCATATAGTGTCTATTACCTATTTTGACACTTTTGAATTAAAATGTAATTTTTTAATTACTCATTTATCTGATTTTTTTTAAATCTGAAAACTATGGTATGCCTCATCACTGTTTATGTCTACATTTATTCAGGTAAAAAATGACAGAATTACATGACTGTCTATCCTATTCTGAGGCGAAGTCTCCCGATAGTAGAGAAAAAAATCAGCAAGTGGAGTCCTTATTTAATGTAGTCCAAGTATTTCCACTTAGGCCTCTTAGCTGTGATTAAACCAAGCATGAGTACGAGAATTTAAACCAGTTTGTTTAAAAGCACATCTTCATCGACAGATATCCCCCTAAGAAAAGCTGCACAGAAAACTAAAAATGTTAAAGTTGAAGGAAATGTTTTTGGAGCTTAATCCAGAAAGGAATACAATCCTGGATAGCCCCCCCCCCTCCTCATTTCGGTTATTTCTGTCACAAATAGAAGTCCAGTAATAAACTGAGGAAGGATATTGATCTCCAAGTACATCACTTCCCTCATTTCTCCCTTCATAGGTCATCATCCTGAACCACCCCGGCCAGATCGCCCAGGGTTACGCCCCCGTGCTGGACTGCCACACCGCTCACATCGCCTGCAAATTCAGTGAGCTCAAAGAGAAGATTGACCGTCGTTCTGGCAAGAAGCTTGAGGACAACCCCAAGGCTCTGAAGTCAGGAGATGCCGCCATCATCACCATGGTGCCTGGAAAACCCATGTGTGTCGAGAGCTTCTCCCAGTACCCTCCCCTTGGTGAGTAAAAACGCTGTTTGTCTCGAAGATAATTATGTGTCAGCCTTTCCTTTAAAGCTGCAGTAACAGTGCAGTCGTGGTTAAGATTACTGTGTGCTTGGAATGTTACATCAGGTCGGTTTGTGAGTGTTTCCGTGAATTATTTTGGGTTTTATGGTAATTTTATTATCGAGTGAAATTAATTGAAGCTTCATCATGACAAAGTTTGTGTTTTTGGGGTGCTCATTGTGGCCCAAAAAAAATATTTCAGCACCCTGGGCCTTTAAAGGGGTCACATCCAGCTCCATATTTGAAAGTGTGGTCAGGTTTAACAACATATCTGTGACTTGAGATCATTTAACCTCATGTGATCTGTCATGATTAATAGAATAGAATAGATCTTTATTGTCACTGTTACAAGAACAGTGAAACACAGTTTGGTATCTCTCCGTTAGCAGCATATAGAAAAAAAAACAAAAAGAAAAAAAAGAGAAACAAAAAAAATGGACTTGAAGTTTAAGAGGTGCCTACACAGTGAATGTATGTAACAACGTAAGTGTCTACACAGAAATGTACAAGGTATATACAAGTTATATATGCTATATAAAAGAGCAGGTGCAATATAGGGTGCAATGTGATGGCAGTGAACTTTGAGTAAGAGCTAGGACTAGAGGTAGGAATGCTGGTTGCATTATACTACAATAAATGCAGTTTATAAATACAGTGAAAATGTCCATAAATGTTAACAGCACAGTTAACCGTTAACCTTCAATCAGGGTGGAGGTAGGGCATGTTTCTATTGAGCCTGTTTGTCTTTGACCTGATTGACCTGTAGCGTTTATCAGAGGCCGGGGGGGGGGGGAGTGTCCAGGGTGCGACAGGTCCTTGATGATGATACTGCTTCTCCGCTGAAGTCTGCCAGTATAAATGTCTCTGAAGGGGGTTAGTGAAGTGCCAATTGCCCGCACTGATGCCCTCTCCACCCGCTGCAGTTTTCTCTTGTCCTCCACGGTACAGCAGTTAAACCGGAGCGTACAGCAGTAGGTCAGAAGGTGGTGGAGCGGTAGAAGTTGATTAGCAGTCAGTTTTGGTCTAATTGGGCCCTGATGCAGCTTCCTGACAAAGTACATTCTTTGTTGTGGTTTTCCTACCTGATGGAAAATGTTTGTGGAGCAGGTAATGTTGGCCGAGATATGGACCCCAGGGAACCTAAAGCTTTCTACCCTTTCTATCCCTTCCCATCAATGTAGAGGGCGGAGTGCTCAGATTGCTTTGTTCGTCTGAAGTCGATTACTCCTTGGCCTTGGCTGTGTTCAGATGTAGGTTGTTGTTGTCACCTATTAAATGTTACAGCAAATATTTCTGGCACAACTTCACCTACTTCCAAGGTGCGTGAAGAGGATGAAAAAGTCACAAAGAGGAATGATCTAACCAGCCCTGTTGCAAGACACTTCAATGATAAACATCCAGATTCACCTCTATTCTTTCTAGGCATTGAAGCCATTAAACTAAACCAAAGAGGTGGTAATATTAATTTTATCCAGAAAAAACAGAGAAGCATTTTGGATATTCGGTTTTAAGAGTCTGCAAAACGTCAAAACTGGATTATAGATGGCAGAGAGTTGGTGTCGTAAACCCCCGCCTCTGTTCAAAGATGGTCGCTCACAGTGGACATAGATCGCTTCTTTCACTCCTCTTTCAAACCATCAGTCTTTTCTGTCCAAAATGTGAACATTTGTGTCCTTGAAAGAGTGACCTTTGACCTTTAGATGCAGATGGACAGCCGAGTCTTGTCCCGTGGAGGTGGCTCTTCTATGTTGTGCCATACGAACCTTCACAGACATATTCTTTAATGTAGTTATAACCTGTTATAACTGTTGCTATAACCCATTATGAGACTTAATCAAGCTGTCTTTTGAATTGTGAAGTTCAAACTTAAAAACTTTTTAAGGTTTTGTTTCAAGCCTCTCATTGACTCCTCTCTCCTGTTACTCCCTCTTCCTCTCAGGCCGCTTTGCCGTGCGTGACATGAGGCAGACCGTTGCCGTTGGCGTCATCAAGTCCGTCGAGAAGAAGGTTGCCAGCGGTGGAAAGGTCACCAAGTCCGCACAGAAAGCCGACAAAAAGAAATGAATCCTCGTGCAGGAGGTCCACCGACAAGTCGCGTCTCAGCAGCAGCGGGCCGCCCCATCCTCCCTTCCCCCCTTCCATCCAGCGCCGTCTTCTCTGAGGCAGAGCTCTCTACTCAAGGACTGGCTTATGCTGATTAAAACCCATCGGAAGAGTTTCCGTAGGAAAGGAAGGTTCGTGCCTTCAAGGGAAAACTACCATCATGATTACATTTAAACCAAAACAATAAAAATCTCAAACATTGCCAAATGAAAACGCCTCTTTTGTGTTTATTGACTGCAGACAGTGGCAGCACTGGTTCTTTTATGCACTTTTCTGCTCTACCTGAGCACTCAAACACTTCATACATGCCTCATTCACCCATTCATACCAGCATTTTGCTCTATGCTTCAGTGCTTTCTATCTCCCATTTAGTATCTTGCCAAAAGGATATTTGGCATACAGCGCCGAGCAGAGGGCATCGAGTCAAACAGGTGGTGGGCGGGGTGCAAGGGGTCACCTGTGATGGCCCTGGTTTTCCAGACACAGGAGGATTTGGCGATGGCATCCAGGGGTGACTTAGGCCTCTCAATGATTTCTTGGGTGGTTTTAATTACTCTCAGTGGCAGCAAAAAATACGGACATTCTGTACTTAAGTAGCAGTACAAATGCTACTCATAAAAATACTCCAGTAAAACTTATAGTACTGATTCAAGTACAGGCTCTGAAATGTACTCAAAGTAAGAAATAAAAGTAGCTCTTTGTAGGACGTTTCTATTTTTGTGCAAACTAACTGAACCTTGTGTTATAATTATGATAAAATAATATCAGCAGATGGGAACACAGACTTCAGTCTAACTTTCGTTTATTCTAATTATACTCAGCTTGAATCTGAAGAAAATGAAGGAAACTAAAAACTATGTCTCTATTTTCTGTTCCCTGCTTTGTTTTTGCCTCTAAACAGGAAAATGTGTACAGTCTCAGCAGGTGGGTGAAGCCTAAAATTAGTTGTGATGGCTCTGTGTTGGCAAAAGAATCAGAACTCACAATTTCTATTGAGAAATATTCTTAATGTACAGGCTGTGATCAGCTGACCTGATACTCTTTGTGGATGTACACAACTGAATTCGAACAGATGTCAGCAGATGTGTCATGAGTTGTCCTGGCTGATTTCCATCCTCTGCACTGACAGTACGCTGTTTATGCTGGAATTCAGTCAATCAATCTCAGCATCATCAGGTAAAATTCACATGAATCTCTGCTACACTGGGTGTACTAACTCTGACTGATGAACCACAGCCACTGTGCACCAGTCGCACCCTCATCTTTACTTTTCGAAGTACAGCAAACTAACCTGTTCAACCTGTACTAAATGTAAAGAATTTTCATGTAACTTTAAATAACACAGCTATACCTCGCCTAACCTCTCGTCTTCCTCTCCTCTCCTGTCCTGTCCTGTCTTATCTTCATCTCTGAGTGAAGTTAACTCTCTTTCTTTTCTCTCCCTGTGAAATACAGCAGCTGGACCTTCAGCTAGCAACACATTGTGAGACCAACTGGACACAGTTTAGCCGCTTTTGGGCTTTCTTTCTCTACCAGGGCGTTGGTGTTGTGGGTCCAGGTGAGAATGACAAAAATGTGGGTGCCCAGAAACCTCGAGTGGAGACAGATTCCACCCATTCTCCATTTATAATGAGAGGGGAGTGGACCTGTCTGTGTCTTCTGAAGTTCATGATAAGCTTCAGGTTGTTTTCTGAGCACCAGCAGGACAAGTTCTCTGCTCTCTCATCTCCATCAGAGTATGCAGAGAACAAGAATAAGGATTTATGCCCTATTTATTTCTGCAGTGAATCAAAGGTGACACAGCCTTCACATTTTCTTGAAAATGAAACCAAAAAAATCAGGATATTTCCAGATTGTGCAAGATTACTTGGAACAGTGTTTGGTTGAATGTATGACACATTCTTTCCGCTTAAGTGATCCTGACCTAACACGAGCAGGTAAAAGATAAAAGCCACAAAAACACAAGTAAAGCATTAAACCTCACACTTGATTCATAGAGCCTAAATGCTTCCTGATGTAGTGGTGTCTTTGTGGGAATTCATTGTTGGGCAAACTTGAGCGTAAAAGGTGTGTGAGCACATACCCCAGCTCATTGCGCAACATTTTCCCATCAGGGGTGATGAAGCTGAAAACCGGATCCCAGGTAGGAGGAGGAGGAAGAGGGCTTCATCCCTAGATTCTGCTTCATGATAACTGAAAGAGAAAGTAATCCTAGAGTAGGAAGTAAAACACAACAGTCAGGGCTTAATCTCCATTTGCAGAGGACGCTGCTCAGGTGAGTCAAACCGCTGTCGGATTGTTTCATTTGCTTCTTTTCACATCACAAATCACTCGCTTCGGTGTTTTACGGCAGAGGTCACAGAGCCGCGGCTCTTTCGCCCCTCAGCTGTGGTTTTTGAAAGCCAAAATGATCGGATCCGGGATCCGTGAAGCCGAACTTAATAAAATGTGCGTAAATGATCAGTATTTATTCAGGTTTGGACGTACACGTTTATAAAAGTGTTATACCTGTGGTCGGATCGCTTCGTATTTCTGTGTGGATTGGAGCACGCGCGTAGGAGTCCTTAAACATTACACAGAAATCACTGGTACGCGTGTAACGCTTAGTTTACGCTCGTGGGTCACATTGTACGCATATGCAACCCTTTTCAGTCAAATTTACCTCCATATTTCTTTGGATCTTTGGATCCACTTACGCAATCAGGTTTTCTTAAACATTAACTACACGAACTCCTTCTTAACACTGCTGGCCTGCAGGGATATTAAAGGGACCTCGTACAGCCCTGATGGGGAGGAGCAGTGATGTTCATAAACACAAATAACGCTAACCGGCCCACTGCTACATTTTGTTTATTTGAAAGTTGGGTATTTACCATCTACTAATATAAATTATCATAGAGCTCATTTAATTTCATGAGACGCATACAGCCAAGTTTGATCCAAAGCGTGGCAGACGACTAAAAGTATTGCTCAATAACCTATAAAACATCTCACCTGAGTTTTTTACTGTAAAGAAAATCAAGGTACACGATAAATTAAATAACACACCCTTTAATCAAACGATTCTTTATCAAATTTGATGAACAGCCTGAGATGTAAATCCGTAAAATTACAGAAAAAGCAAAAAGGACTGAGTTTGTCCTCTAACTGAAAAGATGACATTTTCTGTTCATTCACAGAAAATCAGATTCATTTGACTAATCTGAATAAATGGCCACAGACCCACAGCAAACAAAACAAAGCAAAACTGTAATGAAATAGTGAAATAGTGAAAAAAGAGAAACTTTTCTGTAATGAATTGTCACCCTGACAAAAAACAAAACAAAACAAAACAAAACACACCTTAAGTTGTATAGTTTATTATTTCTTTCTTTTACTTAGTTTATTTTATTATGCAAGGCCATGGGTTTTATCTTAGTCAGGAGTTGAATATTTCCCTGCTTCTGCAATTTTCTCATCCATTTATTGCTCCAGAGAAGTCTAGAAGTTCCTTTTACTCATAAACTTTAAAACAAACCGGCCATGACCCTTTGTTTTTTTTACACCCTGTACATTATAAATGTTTTCCTCCCTGCTGACAGCTGAGCTGCTGACATTACATTTCAGCTGGCTTCTGTTTGAATTTTGCTGTACTTTGTTTGGAGGAAGTCTTCTGATATCTGTTAAGTTTTTCACTGTCTCAATGAGAAATTCCTGCTTTTTTGCAGTGGGTAATAAGAAAGAGAATGACGTGTGTATGAATGAAGTGTATGAGAACAGAGCATTGGTAACTTGATTTCAACCAACAGTACAACACTTTGGTGCAGCTTTTACAGTCAGGTGGTGTTAATGAAAGTCCAGCTGACACAAACTCTGGACTCCAGTGAGTCTGACATGTTCATATACCAACTGGGCCCAAAGGGCTCAACTGTCCTGTCAGTTTGTTTAACCAAAGCGTGGAAAGGAGCTGTGAATGTGCAGGATAGCAGCAATGCAGGGTGTGGCCGGATGACTGAAGTGTATGTAGGATGTTGGTCAGGGCTGCAAAAACAACACAACCTTACCATACTGTAATATCATATGGAGTACATCAAAGCCAGCAAAGACTAAGCAAACACTTTTTTTTAGAAACACACAGTCCTAAACTTCAATAATTAAAGACATAAAATCTAACTGTATGATATCTGTTGTAATTTATATAGAATGTATAAATGTTTACCACGTGTTAATAAACCTCTACAATTAGATCAGCAATGTCCAAAGTGTGGGCTGTGGCCCCCTGCTGGGCATTTAAGATGGTGCAGTTGGTCTGCAGAAAAAAACAAAACACAACCATGTAATTTACTATTGTGTAATTAAGATTTACAATTTGAAATGAGTGAGTTAATAAAAAGCTTCATGTTACTTTTTCTGTTCTGACAGATATTTGGTCCTGAACTTGTCTCGGGAAAAACAAGTGTAGCAGCGGTTAGCAGCTGCTGCAGGTAAAGCGTTTAAAGTGTTACTGTCAGCTCCAAAATAAGAAAATTGTCAGAAGATCAAAATGAATCAATGATAACACGAAGAAATAAATGAACAGAGCAGTGGTTAAAGGTTAAAGGTTGGATAGGTTGCAGAAAATTTGCAGATTTTAGAATGGGCAAAGTCAGTGGTGTGTTTCTAATATATTTTTTTACATCTCCCATATTTACGTTTCATAGATTTAATTAAACAGCAGGTTATTTTATCTGTGTTAAAGGCTGAAATAAACGAGTTATGGAGTTAAAGGACAAACAACAACGATCCCCACGTGAGGCACGGGTGGGAGACAGAGTAAAGCCTGTCGCCAGACCAAAAGAGAAGATTCAGCAGCAGCAGTCAGGTGACACTGCCATAATTTTGGGGGCTTTACATGAATCTTTAACGCTCACCTCTCTGCTTTGCCTAAAAAAATATTATCTTTGTCACTTTGCAGAGGAGGGGGAGGTGGCTGAGGAGTCCGCCATCCCCACAGATCTGGAGACCTGGATCAAAAATAATGCCAAAGACCTGAAGATCCGGCTGAAAGACCGTCGCTGGGCTGCTGAGGTGGTCAACGATTTTCGTGAGAATCTGCTGAAATTCCTTAACAATGAACCTTTATTCAAGTCAGCAGAGTGCCTCAACGCCGGCAGCTACTTTGAGAAAGTTAAGGTGAGATCACAGCTTCTGAATTTTAATTCAGACGTGACTATTTTAATGTTTATGTTTTTTAA